AGCGAGCGGCGCGCAGGAGAACCAGCGCGGGGGCAAAGCCGCCCTGCCCAGTGCCCATGCCGTGGAGATGCTCACGACGGGGCCAGCTCCTGCGCGTCCGTTCTCCGGTAAAGGTGGACACGGGTCTTTTTGGGTCGTCGGAAACTTTGGGTGGAAGGGCAGAGGAGGCGTCTGGGAGGGAGATTACCACCACCACCACAATCATCATGAAATGTATTGATTTGGAATTGATGGATCCCACCTCCGATGCTCCTGGTGCTTTCGATGGCTCCGGGTGCGCGTCCTTCCTCCGCTCCCCCCCCTCCGAACCAGATTGCCGGGCTGCGTGAGCGTGTGCGGATGAGTGCTTGTTTCAACTCGGTTGAAGCAGAGAGAGGGAAGCAAGGGTAATGGGGAAAATACCCCTCCCCCCGCGGTGAGAGAGAGAGAGAGAGAGAGAAAGGGCGCCCCCCCGCGGGGAGAGAGACAGACACAGAGAGAGAAAGGGCCAGATGGGGAGTGGGCTGCTTAGAGGGCCGCTTCTGGTCGCCCACGGGTTTGGGCGATCTTCGCTGGGATGGCTCGTTTTGGAGCTTGGCTGGTGTTTAGGAAACGTGCGTCGCTTGCCAGCTCCGGCCACCACCGCGGGAAGGGTGTAAATGCCAGGGTTCTGATTCGAATCGACGGGAGGTGGGGAGGGAGAGTGGACGCTGTATGGTGTTATTTTTTTTTAATTGAGTGCAGTTGACTTTTGCGAGTCTTCAGACCAAGATTCGGCGACACTGAGACTCGAACCAAAGACTTGTCTAGTCCTGGGGTAATGAGCACCCTACGAAAATCTTCCTGGGGCTTGTGCGGCTCTCTTATTTTTCTTTATATATTTTTCTTCCAAGAATCTGAGTCGTCTCTGTATGAAGATAAAGCCCCCCCCCCCGCGCGCCCCTGCTGTGTTGCAAGATCCGATGGATGGATGTTGCTTGCCTAGACAGAAGTCCCACTAGGTTTACTCCTAAATCAGAATGCATGCATAGGATTGCAGACTAAACTCCTCTCTCTACCTCCCTCTGGCACAATCCCAAATAATCTCCCTCTCTCTCCCTCTCTCTCTCTCTCATTCTACCCATTCCACTTTCTCCTCCTCTTCTCCTTTTGGAAAAGACATGGAAGAACAAGATATGGAAGCTACCTCTGGATTCTGACCCTTTCGTGGTCTTCTCCCTCCCGACTCCTCGGTTGGCAGCTTTCTGCGGGCTTCACAATTCCCTGGACCTCTGCAACATTGTGAAAACGAAGGAAACTTCTGGTAACTGGAGTACAGGTAGGAGATTCTACTTTCCCCTTGCCCTTTCTCCCTATGCAAAAAAAATTGTAATTATTTTTCACCGCTCTCTCTCACCCCCCCACCAACAACAAGAATGAGGTTCTTGTGATTATTTTCTGTCCGGTTGTTTGAGAATGCATTTCTTCTTTTAATTCCTTCCTCCAAATTCATGAGGACTCTAGAAGCGGTCCCTGTTTCATCTATTTCACTGATGAAGCAGAGTTATGCTGACAAGATGCCTAGAGTTAGTTCCGTGGGTAAGAGGATGAAACAAGAGAAGCAACCCAAAGCTTGGTCATGGTATCTTAAAGACTGACCACTTTATTCTAGCACTGGCTTTGTGGATGTAGTTCACTTCTTTGGGTTTAGAACCGCAACAACACAGACTGTATCAATTTACTTTAGCACAAGACCTAGGCATGTCTTTGGCAATGAGTGATGTGAGCCACAAAGCTGAAATAGATGCCTCTGAGTAAAGGAAGGAAGGAAGGAAGGAAGGAAGGAAGGAAGGAAGGAGCTGATAATGGATAAGAGGAAGGAAGGAAGGAGCTGATGCTGGATAAGAGGAAGGAAGGAAGGAAGGATTGTCCAAGAATGAATTGGAGAGTGTATTTTGACAAGAGGATAATCTGTAGTCATGCAGATTAGGGAGTTGGTAGAGAATGGGAAAATGGATTGATTTCATTGACAGACATGGTGTTGCTGATAAGCAAACACTTTTGAATGTCATTGTTTTTAGTGGAACAATGCTATGCAGTGAGATTCTGTGTAAGGAGAAGTAAATACTGTTCAGCTGATGGGAGTTTTTCCTTGGTAAATACTAGAGCTTGGACATGTTGCTTTTTAAGATTACGATTTCCCAAAGCCAACCTGGTTGGCTGGGGGATTTCAAGCGGGGGCATAGTTCCAAAAAGTTGCATTTCCATCCTTTGGTAAATATATATTAGGACGGTAACACTTTTGAAGTGCTGGGTGAGATCTGTTTCCTTGGCATATCATAGCCTTTCTGGTTTCCTCACAGTCTAAGGGATTGCAACTCCCAGAACTCCACAGCCGACTAGAAGTTGGTAACCTGTACATCTGGAGGGTACTAGGTTGGGAAAAGCAGCCACAGGATGTCTTGGCTTCTATGGTTTAACAAGAAGGTCTTAAGGTCCATGGTTAAGCACATGCCTTCTATACAAAAGTCCCAGGCGCAGTCCTAAGGGTTTACAGATATTAAACCATAACAAGTTGCTCCTTCATCTGGGAAAGTTCCTGAAGAGCTGCTTTCACTTAGAATAGACCATCCTGGTTTAGATGAACTCATTGTTTAAGTTGTGAACAGCCTTCACCAGCTGGATCCCTCCTGGAAGTGTTGGACTATAATTCCCAGACAGCATAAGATTTCATTATGCTGGCTGAGGAAGAGGGACATGATGGCCCAACACTTCTAGAGGACCTCAGTTTCAGGAAGGCTGAGTACAAGACTGCTTCTTAACTTCAACGACAGCAAATGTAATATCAACATGCTTTCAGAATTTGTTACATTAATGTATGTCTTACTGGATTTAAGAATGTAAACAGCCCAACCTGTCCCGATCTGTGATTGCTTCATTAGCAAACATTTTTTTCTCTTAGCCTACCAGCTTTGCTAATCTAAGGAGCTTAAAGTGTGAAATGAAATTGTAAAAGGCAAAGATTGAGATCAAGGTGCATGACTGTATAAGGGGGAAAAAAAAAGAAGTCAGTGTGATAGAAAGCAAAAGAGAAATAGTACAGGAAGGAAGGAAGGGACAAATTATCTGGACTACTGCCTACAAAATTCCTTATAAATGGCTCATTCTGTGCAGCAATGAGTATGCAGGTATATATCTGGGAAATCTTGAGTAATCTTGGCTGTACCCATTCATGAACATACCAAAAAAATGCACGTCTATGGAAATTTTACATTATCTGTGTCTATTGTAGGGTGAGTTTAGCTGTATAGTCTTAGATTTCCAGGTTGTGCTTCCGTAGCATGTGAAAACGGACAGCTTTCATTCCTCTGCCTGGGTTTAGGAAGAAAACCCCAGCTCCTTAGCCACGAAAGTATAAAATAAGTCAAAAAAGAATCTGTCTCTCTAAACTGTAGGTTGAAGAAAAATTTGGAATTGGATACATTAGCAAGATGGGGTGGGGAAGGAGGATGAATGTAGTGGGATGATGGCACAGAATGGATTGCAAGGAAATTCAGGGAACATAGGGAAATGCCTGCGTCTCTATCCTTTGTAGCTTCCCCTGGCTTCTAGCATCATCTGCCCCTTGGCATCTCCTTGCCAGTTATTTACATACAAATCATCCAACGTCACGCACTGTGCATCTGCTAGATTTTGGTGGCTATAAACTAACAAAGAATCTGGCACAGGGGCATAGTTGCTTTCCCATTAATATAGAACATGACCTCTAAGTTTCCACAGAGCAAATCTGGAGGAATAGGCTTAAGGAGTCTAACCCTGCCAGTCACTGGGGGCATCAGTGATTGTAGAATCAGACCCATAGCTGTAGAATCAGACCTATAGGTGAGAGTCGTGATGGGGGGGTGTTTAAGACTCTCCTGCCTTTTATAGCCATAAGACATGCTTTCCTCTTAATTCTTTAGAAGTCCAGATCTTGTCTTGATGTTTATATGCTTCTGAATCTTTGTGCTTTCCAGCTGGCAGAAACGTTTGTTAAGGTGAAGTGGCCACATACATACTTTAGATTCCTTTGCACACCATTTTATTTAAGGAAGAACTGTGATGTTTTTGAAAGAGGCTGCTGGTCTGCAGTGCATTTTCCAAAATACTTGTCATGATAATAGACACAGTTTTGAGGGCGAGTATCATTTCAGGACCCGTTGTGGTTTAGTGGATAGAGTGAAAGGCTACCCATTCGGGAGGCCTGAATTAGAATCCCTGCTAAGCCATGGGAGATTGCTAGGAATGTGGAACTTAAGTATCTCACTTATCTTGAAACCCCTGTTAGGGTTCCTGTAAGTTGGTTCTGACTTGACAGCACATGACAAGAATATCATGGTGAGTGGAAATCTTCCACCCTCAATTTCAGGTCTCCTGACATAAAAAGGTATTTTTCTTTTGATCATGGAAAAATAATTGCCTTTTCCAGTTAAAGTCCCATACTTTTTGTATTAGTTGATTGTTTCTTTGTGACATCTGACAATGTGAACTTTACTACCTTGGGACATGGGAGGAAGCCTTTGACATGATCATGCCTCTTTTCTCAACATTAAGAAGAGGGGACACAAGATGGTGTCAGAACATATGCTTTATACACAGACATTTCCCTGTTCAGTTACTGGCATCGCCAGGCAGGTATAGAAAAACTCTGTCTTGAAGCCCCGGAAAGTTGCCGCTGGTCAATGTGAGCACAATTGGGTTAGATGGACTGAAGATCTGATTTAGCTTCATATATACTATGTGCAATTGGTCCATATGCTCTCTGTTCAGAAGGTACTAATTTCAGTCTTTTGCATGCTCAATTTTTTGTTTTAATAGTGATGAGAAAGGACCTTCATCTTTTAATTATTTTTATTTGACATCATTTATTTATTTTCCTTTAATCTTGAACTTGTTTTGTTCCTTTGACTGCTAGCCACTCTGTTCGCATCCAATTTTATGGAAGAAATACAGGGTATACATTAGACATGTGATCTTTGTGTTCACATCCAAGGGATATGAATAAGAGGCACGGCACCACAGGTGCCGCAGTGATCCATTCCCTCCCCCCGCCAAACCAGCTTGGTCCATTCATCAGGCTCCGCATGGCATGTGCATCCATCAGCATTGTCGCTGTACCAAGTGCGTAAGTAGTTCGGCCAGTGCTTCCCGCCTCTCCCCACAGACGACCACCCCAGTGAGGAGATGGGAAGACGAGTCTCTGTGCTCAGGTGCTGAGCGGTCGGGTGTGGGGAGAGGCAGGGAGGTGTTGGCCGAACTACAGTGGTGCCTTGCAAGATGAATGCCTTGCGGGATGAAAAACCTGCAAGACGAATGGTTTTTGCAATCGCTGTGGTGCCTTGCAAGACAGCTTCTTCTATGGCTGTGCTTTGCAAGATGAATGTTTTTCGCAAGACCGATGCCTCACAAGATGAATGAATTATTTTCATCTTGCGAAGTTCCCATAGGAATGCATTGCAATGCATTCCTATGGGAA